GACTTTGTAGAGTAGGGGAGATGGTTGGACTCGATGATCCCAAGGGTCTCTTCCAACCTAGACGATTCTATGATTCTATGAGTTAGCAGAGGGTCTGAGAAGATAACCTGTGTAGACCTCCCTGTGGAAATGGGCCTTTAGATGTTTGGGATGTGATAGCCCAGAGTCACCACGGATGCCCGTGAGCCATCTGGAGATCAGGCAGCTCTGCTGGCACAGCAGAGTAACCTCTGACACTGGGACTGTACCCTTGGGTTCCTTTTGCTTTCCTCAAAAATACTAAAACCACCGACTGTGTCTCTTGCAGGGGTTTCTCCCGGAAGGAATGTTTGACCGAATCCTGACAGGGCCCGTAGTGCGGGAAGAAGTCAGCCGGAGAGGGAGGCGCCCCAAGAGCGAGACGGCCAAGGCAACGGCAGCGGCAGCGGCCGCCGGCGCCGCCAACGTGTCGGTGAACCCCCTGCTTGCCAACGGGCTGCTGCCGGGAGTGGACCTGCCCAGCCTGCAGGCCTTACAGCAGAACCTGCAGAGCCTGCAGTCGCTGCAGGTGACGGCGGGGCTGATGGGGATGCCGGCCGGCCTGGCTGCCGGAGGAGAAGCCAAGAACGTGGCTGCCATGTTCCCCATGCTGCTCTCGGGGATGGCTGGATTACCCAACCTGCTGGGCATGGGAGGGCTCCTCACAAAGGCTACGGAATCCGTTTCGGAGGAAAAAAAGGGAAGCGATTCGAAGGAGGCAGATATAAAGAAAGAAAGGACAGAAGACCAAAATACAGATACTGGTGGTGAAAACTCTGTTTCAAGTTCTCCTTCAACATCCTCTGCTGCTGCAGCTGCCAATCCTCTCTCTCTTAACCCATTACTTTTGTCCAACATACTTTACCCAGGGATGCTTCTCACTCCAGGCCTTAATCTTCATATCCCAGCTTTGTCTCAGTCTAATATTTTTGATGTACAGAACAGTGAAAGCAATGACACGGGCTCAGCCAAGCCCACAGAAGAAAAGGAGGAAAATTCTAGGGTTAGAGATCAGGAAGACAAAGGGGGAACAGAGCCAAGCTCTCACAACGAGAACAGCACAGATGAGGGTTCAGAGAAAGCAGATGCTTCATCTGGATCTGACAGTACATCGTCTTCATCTGAGGATTCGGATTCTAGCGATGAAGACTGACCCCAGACTCTGCACTTAAATTATAAAACTGATTTTGAATTTATTCTTTAATTATTTCATTGTAAATAACCCAGTGTTGAGTGCATCAATGATTTACTGACCGAACATTTCAGTATTTGTTTAGAAGTGCAAACTGCTTTCAGAGACATTTTGCATGTAATATTTCTTGAAGTTCATAAGTTTCTGAACTTGTATGTACTATCAAATACACAATGGTGTAAAATTACAACAAAAGGCATTATAATTTTGTTGGGGGGTTAATTTTATGAAAATAATGCTCAAGTAAGAGCTGTATATTTAATATATTTGCAGTGAACACAGAATACTTTATGCATATTATTGATTTAATTTGAATATAGTTTTACAGCCTCCTTGACACTTATAATTTCCAGATCAAAACTCAGCAATAATTTGGGCAGCTAATGAATGTCATGAAAGCTGTAGAATCTACATCACCATCCATTGCTTTAATTACATGGAAATGCTCTAGTGTTGTGATGCACTGCTGTTTCCAATTCAGGTACAAGTGTGTTTAAAAGATAAATTTTTTTCCCAATCAGCCAATGAAACTGGCTACCTGTTACCTCAGCTGAGTTAGTTTAGGAAGTTTACATTGGTTTCTATTACTTGTTTTCAGGTTTTGTTTTGTTTTCTAAAGACATCCTGTATATCATGTTAAAATCTGAGTTATTTGAGATAGGACTGTTGGGGTTTTTTCCCCCCTTCTTACAACTGTTCTCTCTGACAGCAGTAGGGGGGAAATTAAAGCAAGAACTGTCTTATCTCATGCTACTTGGCACCACGTAGATCTATTTAGTTTACACCTTGCAAAGTTTTGGGCTCCCTCTGCAGAATTCAAAGTCCCAAAATGAGGAGTAGTTTCCCCAAGACTCAGAAGAGGCAAAGCGTCATAAAGTGCCACTGAAAAGACCTTTCAACACTGCATACTTCATGTAAAAATTGTTTGTTTGCTTTGTTTGTGTAAATTTCTATTTGTGTTTTATGTCATAAAACCTCCTGGAGTTACCAGTTAATAATGGTAAATAAAGTATAGATAGTTTTGAACTCCTTTTGAGTTTAAACTTCTCTGCAGATTTAAATCTGACTAAATATTAAATATTGCCCAAAATCATTATTGGGATATCACTTCATATATTATGCTGAGTTACCCACTAAAGAAAAAGCACTTTGAATAGTAAGGAAGACAAATTATTTCTAGAAACCACAGTAACAGGGCATAAGACATCTGTTTTAAGTCCAAATCCTTGGAACCCTTTACTATATAAAATCTGTCTAATATTTGATCTGTGATACGATTCCTCCTCCTTCTTAAGCTGCTATTACTCTGACACAAGTTGAGGCCCAGGTTCACATTCACGGAAGCTCTGAACTTGACTGAGACTTCAGTTGACCTTGGTTACATCATCTGCGGTCCCAGAATAGGCAAGTGTTAAGAGAAAATAGGTACAGGTACTAGTAGAAGTCATTGAAAAAGCTTTACAAAGGGATAAATTTAAAAAATAAAAAACAAAAACTGTATATTTTGATATAGTTCTGTTGCTTGCTTGTACAGTAAAACAACTGTGTTGTTTTTTTATCAAGAACTTTACCAATGAAATATAAGTTTCTATGTGCAAAATAACTAGCCCCATGATTAGAAGCAGTATTACATGTAATTACACAATTATACAAGTACCATTTGGATTGTGCTGGTTACGTATTTTCCCAAATAGTATTCTGATCTTTGGCCCTTCATGCAGTGTCTTAGCAGTAGTGAAAATTAAAAACTGCCAAGAGAAGGGGGTAGCAATTCTTCATGATGAAAAAGAAAAAAGTATTTCATATTTAGTATTTTGCCCTTTGTAATATAGCACTTTTATGTAACTAGGATGCATCTACGAAATAGCCAAAGTTTTCCAAACAGTTATTAACTTAGTTTGCTGATGGAGTATGTCAACAATACCATCACTTCCCACCCTTACCCCACAAAACAAATCCTAAATCTTGTGGCTAAAACCTAATTTATATCAGATTTATGAAATGAAGTATTTTCCTAATTATGGTCAAGTGAGTTTGGTTACCATTCTAGTGATTCTTTCTATGTGATAAGGCAATTACAGTTTCAAGTAATGAAGGCTGGTGTAGACTTGAACATAAAATATTTGGTTTATTTTTAATCAGTTTGAACCAGAAGGGGAAAAAACGTCCCACTGTCAGCTAAACTATATGCAAATACGGTTGTATAAAGTTAAGGGTTATAAGGAAACCTCAGTAGAATTACACTAATACTGAAGTTAAAGTTAAAAGGATATCCAAGGTGATGATAAAGTGTGTGTTGGTAGTTACTAAAAGAACCTTAGCTGTTATTGCCTTGTATTTCTATCCCTTGTTTCAGGCTTCATGATCCAAGTCTTAGTCCAGGTTTTTTTTGGACATTTGCAATATTTGCCAGTTGTGTTCTGTGTAGTCTGAATTTGCTTTCTGTAGTTGAACAAGCGTCTTAAAAAGTCATTTGTAATTTATTGAATTACTTTCTATGATGTTCTATAGAGCAAATGGAAGTTTAATTATTTTTTATTAAACATATTCTTTGACTACCCATGATCTCGGCCTCAGTATGTGAAAATAACACTCCCTGTGTAAGGATTAAACACCTGTCTTTCAGCAGCAAAAGTTAAGTTTCAGTGTTAAGCTTCAAATGTGAAATTATTCTTAAAAAATAAAAAATTCAAGCTAAGGATATAACACGTGCACATGACACACACCCCCACCAAATACTCTTGTATCATTTCTCTGGGAATGAACTTCCTGTAATTCTGTTGTCTTATGAACAAACTAAGCTGCTGTTCCAGCCCTTCAGTGGTGAGGGTTAGAAAGGAGTATATGGTCTAGGATCTGGTCTAAAAGTTGACTTAATTTGAAATAATGATGCATCTAATGTTCCAGGGTAAGCGTGTTGGCAGTGGGGTACCTGCTGGATCTTCCTTTTTAAAACCCTGCATTACTTTCTATGTGTTTACTAAATCTTTTAATAATGTACACAGCACTTACTGTTGCTATTTTTCATGTATTTCTTACAGGGCACGGAATTTCCCTGAAGACAAGTTGTCTCCTGGCTATCAGGTGCCACCTTGTTTTCCCCTGTCAGGGCAGCACGTGAAGGATTCAGCTGTACCCTCCTCATTTCTTCCAGTCTGGATTTTCTCTGCAGATGCTGAGCATCCTTTCAGAGCTGCTGCTTTCTCAAATCTCTGCACAGGTGACAAAAATGCTCTGTTCTCATGTCCTCCCCAGTTTCTTTTTTCCTTTGAAGTCCTGCAGAATCCCTGGTAGTATTTTTTTTAACTTATTTTTAGCAGGTCTATTAGAAAATTGTCACAGATTTTAAAAAAAGAAGGAAAAATTATGTCTTGTCATTTTACGATCCAATCCTCTCAGCTTGTAAATTAAAGTATAACTACATCTATTTTTCATTGAAACTACTTGCAAGGAGCAGATGATCTAGGCACAGAATCGGTGTTTAATTTTAATTTCTTCCACTCCTTTAAGCATTTTTGAAACGGTGTCTGGGTATGACGATTAGATGATCCTATTAATTGGGTGTCCCAGGCAAATTCCTGTCCTAGATGTAACATCCTGTCTGTGAGTTATTTCTGCCATGTTGTTTAGTAATCTGGTTTTTATTTATAATGTACACAGCACTTACTGTTGCTATTTTTCATGTATTTCTTACAGGGCACGGAATTTCCCTGAAGACAAGTTGTCTCCTGGCTATCAGGTGCCACCTTGTTTTCCCCTGTCAGGGCAGCACGTGAAGGATTCAGCTGTACCCTCCTCATTTCTTCCAGTCTGGATTTTCTCTGCAGATGCTGAGCATCCTTTCAGAGCTGCTGCTTTCTCAAATCTCTGCACAGGTGACAAAAATGCTCTGTTCTCATGTCCTCCCCAGTTTCTTTTTTCCTTTGAAGTCCTGCAGAATCCCTGGTAGTATTTTTTTTAACTTATTTTTAGCAGGTCTATTAGAAAATTGTCACAGATTTTAAAAAAAGAAGGAAAAATTATGTCTTGTCATTTTACGATCCAATCCTCTCAGCTTGTAAATTAAAGTATAACTACATCTATTTTTCATTGAAACTACTTGCAAGGAGCAGATGATCTAGGCACAGAATCGGTGTTTAATTTTAATTTCTTCCACTCCTTTAAGCATTTTTGAAACGGTGTCTGGGTATGACGATTAGATGATCCTATTAATTGGGTGTCCCAGGCAAATTCCTGTCCTAGATGTAACATCCTGTCTGTGAGTTATTTCTGCCATGTTGTTTAGTAATCTGGTTTTTATTTATTGCTCAGTATGACGGTACTGAGACACCAGCAAAATGAATGTTCCCTTCTCACTGAACATCTGCACGGTGAGATGCAGTGTTCCCCGTGCACGGGGTTAATGCAAAGGGATCTGCAGTGCAGCATTATATGAAATTATTTGTGATGTGAAAGTCACGAATGTTCAGTTGTATCAACAGTTTCTGATCTAGTTCTGTTACACCTATTATAATCTTCACCATAAGCTGTATCAGTGTCGTGTGGGCTTTACACTGCTGTAGTTGAGCAACACAACAGATTTTACATCTGTAGGTTGTTGGGACGTGGGGTTACGCTGGTGGCTACAGAGGAGACTAAATTACACTTGTGCAGCTGCAGGAGTTTACAAAATATCTCCTGTCTTATCTAAATGGCCCTGGTGTTGTACAGACAGGCGGCACTGTTTCTGTGTTGTGTTTAGAAGAAAGGGAAATAAAGATAATAGCTTTCCATAACTATACTGTGAGAAAATCTTCATCACTTCATTTTTAACTAATGATTCGTAAAATGAAATTTTTCTGTTAAAAGATACAGTTAATGGGGAGGGACTCTTGATCAGGGAGTGTAGTGACAGGACAAGGGGTAATGGTTTTGAACTGAAAGAGGGGAGATTGAGATGAGATATTAGGAAGAAATTCTTTGGTGTGAGGGTGGCGAGACCCTGGCCCAGGTTGCCCAGAGAAGCTGTGGCTGCCCCATCCCTGGAGGGGTTCAAGGCCAGGCTGGAGGGGGCTTGGAGCAACCTGGTCTGGTGGGAGGTGTCCCTGCCCAGGGCAGGGGGTTGGAACTGGATGATCTTTAAGGTCTCTTCCAACTCCAACCACTCTGTGATTCTATGATACAGCAAGAACTTGTGATGCTTCAGTGTCTCTGACAAAGGTAAGTTTCAGTTAATGTTTCCTTGAGGAAAACTGTTCTTTCAGAAACCCTTTTTTTAAGCTTTTAGTACTGAAGTACTAGAAGTGAGATAGGTCTTTGAAAACATTGACAATACGTGGAGGGGGATGTTGAAATGCTTTATAACTCCAGTGGTGTCAGTAAATTGCATTGTTCATTATTGCCCAAAGTTCTAGCCTGCCAGAAATGACAATTATTTTGATTGTTACATTTCAGTTTTTAACCTAGCATTTTAGGAACACTGTTCACTGAGAAACACATAAAAAGAATTAAGGAAAATTGTCCACAAAATAGGGTGGGCTGAAGTCTTGAAATGGAAAAGTACATACAGGTATCTCCATTCAGAGAAGTTATGATCCCAAAACTCTTAGACTTACATAATTTAAATTTTGGCTTCAATTTAGAGTATTTTATACTCCAACTAGCTAATGTTCAGATTCCTTTTAAAAAAAACCCAAACTGTTTAATCAAACTGTAGCATTTCTCTACTTAAAAGGAGACATAACCAAATTAGCCAAATTAAGGCTATGATATTTTTCTTACCACTGCCTCCTTCAGGTGCTCACACACAGGGAAGGAAGGAAAGTGCCATTCACAAGATCCTTCTGTGAACCTATTCTGCAAAAGAGGGACTTTTTCTCCCTGCCTCTTTTCTGCTTCACCTGTGAACGAGAATTAAGAGTGCAAATTCTCATCGGTGTTACAGGTAAGATCTCTTGTGCCTGACCCTTTTACATTCTTCTCTGTATATAAGGGAGGCTGGTTTGGGAAATTCTTGGGATCCTGATGTCAGATACGGTGTCACCATCTCTCTTCTGTTTTTACCAGCGCTCACCAAAATTGATGGCATGTCCTTGGGCTGTTTCCTGTTCTCAGAAGCTTTTGATTTGGGAATTCCTGTGTCTCAGCTCTCCTCTGCTTCACACTGTTTGACTTCTTTTCAGCTTCTCAAAGCAGGTGGTAGGAACTCGGCTTTTTGCTCCTGTGAGGCAGAGTTTTTAACTCCTAGTCCCTAAATAAGTGTACAATGTTGAAATACGTGTGCCTGAAGCCCTTTGATGCTCTGATTGTGCTGGTGGGAACACCAGTGGCTTTAACTGACTTGTACAATGTTGGTAGATACAATATGGGATCCAGTAGTGGAAATTATTCCAGTAACTGACATTCCGGATGAGGCTATCTCTTTTTTTCAGTGTTCATTCTGAACATTTCTGTTGCCTTCAGTAAAAAATCTTGCTTCTTTGTAAGGGGAGAAAAGGGGCAAGAGAAGTGGAGGAGCAAGTGAAGTTAAATCCTTAGGGATTAAAAAGATTTCAGTCTATTATGCCTAAAATGTTTTTTTGTCTAAGTTTTCAGTAAACCATTAAATGAAAAATTACTTTTTCTTTTTTAAGTCTTATACACAAAAGCAGTCAAGTTAACATTTATTTACAAAACCTGGAAGCATAAAATCATAGGGAAGTATGCAGGTGTCATCACAGTGTAATTTTAACTTTTAACCTTACTTTTAACCTAGGCTTTGTTCATCTTTTAATAATGTTATTGTTATGTTTGCTACTTTTTTTTTTTTATCCAAAGGGTTATGAAAGCATAGATTAATGTTTCTCAGTAGAAAAAAAAAAATACTGTAGTGAGTTATTGGTGCTTTCTGCTTTACAGAACACTGCAAATCTAGCTTAACAGGAAAGCCCTATGCTATTCTTTTCGGATTTCTGGGTGGCAGAGAGCATCCCATCAGTGCCCTGATACCTCCAACCAGCTGCTGCCTCCCTGCAAGGTTCACAGCTCCTCCATCTTAAAAAAAAAAAATAGAAAAAAAAGAAGGGCTGGGGATGTAAGAGATTAGATACAGCCTAACCATTAGGTGTTACCATTACAGTGAAACAGAGAAGCCCCCCAGGCTGTCCTGGCAGGCCAGGGGCTGCAGGCACAGGGGGACCCTGCTGCCATCACCGTCTTCCAGCGCCTGCTCGGGCCTTCTGCTGCCGTCTGATGCTCTCGGTGCTGGGGAGAAAATGCACACTTGTGTCTGGAACACAGCTCAGGTTAGCCAAATCATCGCTTCTTGACATTTTTTCCCCCTGAAGCTGCCATTATTGCTAGCTGAAATGTTAGCATTACAAAAGCGAACAAGTATAGTCAATAAATCTCTTTTAATAAAGTAGAGAAATTTTACTCATCTCTTAATTCACATGTACCTGCTCTAGGGCTGACCCCTCCTCGAGGCTTAATTTTGGGAGGCTCCTCTCTGTGGGGGGAGGGCCTTTGCCACAGGAGCCCTGGCTGCATCCTTCCAGCTGTTGCTGTTTATCCTTCACAGCTGGAACCCCGGGTACCGGGGCAGCCATCTGAGAGGTCTGACTCCAACAGCAGCAGCCATCCACATCAATCTTTGTCCTTTTGCGGCCTTGTCCTGAAATTGTTTGTTTCTGCCTCAGTCTAAAACCCATTTAAGTTTAAAACGACTCAAAGGAGCTCGCTGTCCTTCTGGTTTTACCGGTGGCAGTGAACCACCCTTGGGTTTTGTGTTGCTCGGGAAGAGCTCCAGCCCTTACCCAATGGAACACTTTGTGTGACGGTTCCGGTAACAACATCAGTGGGTGTCGGCGCTCATCCCTTACCGGCGGGGCCCGCCGGGGGGAAGGGGGGAAGGCCCGGCGGTAGGGAGGGGGAAGACCGGGGGCAAGAGACGAAGGCCCGGCGGCAGGAGAGGGAAGGCTCTCTCAGACCGCCGAGGCGCCGTCCGGGCCTTCAGCCCGCAGCCCGGCGGGGTCACGTCCCGCCCGGCCCCTCAGGCCCCGGCCCGCTCCTCAGCCGCGGGAAGCGCCGCTGAGGGACGTTTCCCGTCCCCCCCCCCCCCCCGCCCCCTCCGGGAGCGGGCGCCCGCCGCGGTGCACGCCGGGCGGGGGAAGCGGATGGCGCCTGCGCGAGGCGTCTGCCCGCTGTCCAATGAGCGGTGGCGGCGCGAGGCCGGGGGCGGGGCCCGAGGGCGGGGCGTTGGGATGTGAAGGCGCGGCGGGGGGCGGCGG